CTATATATGACAAACCTACAGCCAGCATTATACTTAATGGAGAAAAACTGAAACCATTCCCTCTAAAATCAGGAACCAGACAAGGATGCCCACTATCTCCACTCCTATTCAACATAGTACTGGAATTCCTAGCCAGAGCAATTAGGCAAGAAGAAGGAATAAAAGGAATACAAATAGGTAAAGAAACTGTCAAAATATCCCTATTTGCAGACGACATGATCCTATACCTTAAAGACCCAAAAAACTCTACTCAGAAGCTTCTAGACATCATCAATAGCAAGGTAGCAGGATATAAAATCAACATAGAAAAATCATTAGCATTTCTATACACTAACAATGAGCAAACTGAAAAAGAATGTATGAAAACAATTCCATTTACAATAGCCTCAAAAAAAATCAAATACCTAGGTGTAAACCTAACAAAAGATGTGAAAGACCTCTACAAGGAAAACTATACACTTCTGAAGAAAGAGATTGAGGAAGACTATAGAAAGTGGAGAGATCTCCCATGCTCATGGATTGGTAGAATCAACATAGTAAAAATGTCGATACTCCCAAAAGTAATCTACATGTTTAATGCAATTCCCATCAAAATTCCAATGACATTCATTAAAGAGATTGAAAAATCTACTGTGAAATTTATATGGAAACACAAGAGGCCACGAATAGCCAAGGCAATACTCAGTCAAAAGAACAATGCAGGAGGTATCACAATACCTGACTTCAAACTATATTACAAAGCAATAACAATAAAAACAGCATGGTACTGGCACAAAAACAGACATGAAGACCAGTGGAACAGAATAGAGGACCCAGATATGAAGCCACACAACTATAAGCAACTTATCTTTGACAAAGGAGCTAAAAATATACGATGGAGAAATAGCAGCGTCTTCAACAAAAACTGCTGGGAAAACTGGTTAGCAGTCTGCAAAAAACTGAAACTAGATCCATGTATATCACCCTATACCAAGATTAACTCAAAATGGATCAAGGATCTTAATATCAGACCCCAAACTCTTAAGTTGATACAAGAAAGAGTAGGAAATACTCTGGAGGCTACTTAAAAAGCTGGACATCAATCTACCATTTGATCCAGCAATACCACTCTTGGGGATATACCCAAAAGACTGTTACTCCAGAGGCACCTGCACATCCATGTTTATTGCAGCACTATTCACAATAGCCAAGTTATGGAAACAGCCAAGCTGCCCCAGCACTGACGAATGGATTAAGAAAATGTGGTATCTATACACAATGAAATTTTATGCAGCCATGAAGAAGAACGAAATGTTCTCACTTGCAGGTAAATGGATGGAATTGGAGAACATCATTCTGAGTGAGGTTAGCCTGGCCCAAAAGACCAAAAATCGTATGTTCTCTCTCATATGTGGACATTAGATCAAGGGCAAACACAACAAGGGGATTGGACTATGAGCACATGATAAAAGCGAGAGCACACAAGGAAGGGGTGAGGATAGGTAAGACACCTAAAAAACTAGCTAGCATTTGTTGCCCTTAACGCAGAGAAACTAAAGCAGATACCTTAAAGCAACTGAGGCCAATAGGAAAAGGGGAACAGGTACTAGAGAAAAGGTTAGATCAAAAAGAATTAACCTAGAAGGTAACACCCACGCACAGGAAATCAATGTGAGTCAATGCCCTGTATAGCTATCCTTATCTCAACCAGCAAAAACCCTTGTTCCTTCCTATTATTGCTTATACTCTCCCTACAACAAAATTAGAAATAAGGGCAAAATAGTTTCTGCTGGGTATTGGTGGGGGGAGAGGGAGGGGGCGGAGTGGGTGGTAAGGGAGGGGGTGGGGGCAGGGGGGAGAAATGAACCAAGCCTTGTATGCACATATGAATAATAAAAGAAAAAAGAAAAAAAAACTATATTAGGTATTTTGTTACAGTGACACAAAGCTAGATAATGCAGGTGGGGAAGAAGTGAGAAAAATATTTGAAGAAATAATGGTGAAAAGTTTCCCAAACTTGATATAAAAAAAACCCTACTACACAGTTTCAAGAAGCTCAACAAAGGCCAAACTTGAGAAATAGAATGGAAATCAATAATAGAAGATTCATGATAGAAAAATCTTAAAAACAAGAGAAAAGTATAAATTATATAAACAAATATTAAGATAAGGATAACAGCAAACTTCTAGTTGGAAACAATATCAAGTTAAAAGACATGTTTCACGGTGGACTTCCAGACCACGTATGATGAGCTAGCTCAGAAAAATAGAGGAGCAGATTAAGAAGTTCACCACAGTGATCACCCATAGTAGCTGAGATTGGAGCTCATGGAGCTGAGGTGCAAGACTCAGTCCTTAGAGATGAACCTGGATTCAATAAAAAAATCTGGAGGCCAATTTGAAGAATAGCCTGAGTGACATGAAGGTCCACCATACCAAGGAGATGGAGTAACTCAATGGGGGTCCTGCTGCACCTGGAGTTGGAGCTGGAACAGATCCAGGGAGAAGGGTAGCACCAGGCTCAGAAGTACAGATCCTGTGGAACATGAAGGTCAAGCTAAAGCTGAGATCACCACTTACAGCCATCTACTGGAAGAAGGGAAAGACGTCAATCATCATGACATCCTGATGACAGCACTCCATACAAACTACCCAAAAGACCACAACCAACAGAATCACAAATGGCAAAATGGTGTTTGAGACCAATAATAGCAAAGTTCTGAGGCACAGTGTTTAGGCAGAGAAGGAGAGTCCCCTTAGGGAACAAGAGGCCAAAAAAAGTTCAGAAGTCACTAGAAAAAAACATAAACAAGAGCACAATAACACTTTTAAATATACAAAAGATGAGAACAGATCTACAGCACAAGAAATGTTAAAGGAAATCTTTCAAACAGAAGGAAAATATCACCAGATGGAAATCTCAATCTACATAAACTAATGAAGACCACTAAAAGCAATAAATATGTGCTTAAATTATGTTTTCTTATTTTTTAGCTCTCCTCAAAGCAAAAATAGCAAGAATATTTTATTGGGTTTATCACATCCACACAAGCAAAATGTATGAAGTACAACATAAATCCCAAAGGGAATAAATGGAGTTTCTACTACTGTAAGTAGAATACTATTATTTGAAAATAGACTGTGATAAATCAAGATATATTCTATAAATTCTAAAGCAATCACTGTAAAACAAAAGTTATAGCTAATAAACTAGTAAAAGAGATCAAATAAAGTCATAAGAAATACCCAAGTCACTTAATGGTACAAAAAAAGAGAGAACAAGGACTACATGGAGCAAATAAAAAGTAAGTAAGAAAAGAGTAGATTTATAACCAACCATGTAAGTTGTTGCATTGAATGTAAACCATATGCCTAGCCATAATACAATTCTCAATAAATTCAAAAGTATCAAATAATACAAAGTATTCTTTGTCACAGTGGAACAATTCAGAAAATGAGAGAAGTCTTAGGATTTTGGAGAACCAAATAATACATTTCTAAATAATCCAAGGATAGAAAAGTAGATCAAAGGGAAAATTTAAAAATATTTTGAAATGAAATATAAAATTATAATTTAGCAGAAAATTTATAACCCTAAATACCTGCATTAGAAAAGAAAGGTCTCAAAACAATGACTTTAGCTTATCTCAAGCAACTAGAGAAAAGATGACTGAATTAAATCCAACAAAACACCCAAAAGGAAATAAAAATACAAGAGAAGTCAATGACATAAAAAAATAGAAAACAAGAGCCACGAAACTAAAAGTTGATTCTGTGATATGAAAAATAAAATTGTTAAGCCTGTGGTCAGCATAATCAGGCTAAAAAAGAAGACACAACGTGCAGTATTAGTAATGAAAGAAAATACTATAGATGTTAAAGACAGTAAGAGGATGTATGAATAACTTTATATTAATAAGTTTTACAAGGTAGACAATATTCATTTATTTTATTCTATTTGGCAGTACTAGAGCCTCATACTTGTCATTCATTTTATTCATTCATGATATTCATACATCCTTATACTTGCTAGGAAGTTTCTCTACCACCTGAGCCCTAACCCTTTTTTATTTTAGTTATTTTTTAGAGAGTGTCTCACTGTTTTTGCCCAGGCCAGCCTTGGACCATGATTTTCCTACCTATGTTTCTCACATATCTGTGATTACAGATGTATACCACTATGCTTACTCATTTGTTGACATAGGGGGTCTTGTTAATTTTTTTCCTAGCCTGGCCTCAAACTGAGAGCCTCCTGCATGTTTATTGTGGCACTATTCACAATAGCCAAGTTATGGAAACAGCCAAGATGCCCCACCTCTGACAAATGGATTAAGAAAATGTAGTATCTATACACAATGGAATTCTATGCAACCACGAAGAAGAATGAAATGTTATCATTAGCTGGTAAAATGGATGGAATTGGAGGAACATCATTGTGAGTGGAGTTAGCCTGGCCAAAAAGACCAAAAAAATCGTATGTTCTTCCTCATTATGTGGACATTAGATCAAAGGGCAAACACACAAGGGGATTGGACTTGATCACAAGATAAAAGCAAGAGCACAACAAAGGTAAGGATAGGTAACACTAAAAAACTAGCTACGCAATTTGTTGCCCTCCAACGCAGAGAAACTAAAGCAAATACCTTAAAAGCAAACTGAGGCCAATAGGAGAAGGAGACCAGGAACTAGAGAAAAAAGTTAGGATCAAGAAGAAATTACCTAAGATGGTAAACACACATGTACAGGAAATCGATTGTGGAGGTTTGGCACCCCTGTATTAGCTATCCTATCTCACTAGGCAAAAAGCCCTGTCCTTCATATTATTGCTTATACTCTCTCTTCAACAAAATTAGAGATAAGGGCAAAATAGTTTCTGCCAGGTAGCGAGGAGGAGAGGGAGGGGTGGGGTGGTTGGTAAGGGAGGGTGTGGGGGGGAGGGGGGAGAATTGTATGCACATAAGTTTTTTAAAAAAAAGAATATAGAATTCTACATCTTTAGCTTCTTCAGCATCTTTGCTTACCTTTGTGATCTTTCAAATAATGTTCCAAACTGTGCTGTTTTATGTGATGAACTGAGAACATAATGACCTTCAGTTAACTGTGAAATGAAGGAATCAGAACAACTAACATCACTCAGCTGAAAAAAATGGAAGAAAATGTCAAAATAGTCAATACGCATACATATAATTTAAGGTAATTACCAAAGATGACATTTAAGTGAACTTTGTCTATACTAAAAAACATACTTTTTGGTTTAAAAGAAACAAATTTTAGTTTATATTGAAATCCAAATAAATGTTTTTATCTCAATAAAAACAGTATTTGTATTTGAATAATTGCTAAATAACAGAGTTCATAGTATGTTGAGTTTACACAAGAATGAATATAGAATTTTTAAACCTATTAAGAAGGGGCCTAAGGTAGAAAGTAGAAAAATGAACCAATTTGGGTTAAAATACATAAATACATGGAAGTGTCACAATGAAATTCCCTGCAAAACTATTTTATACAAACAAAAATGTCTTTTTATTTTCAAAGACAGAGAACAGGAAGGCAAAACAGGTCTGAGGGTTTGGTAACAGTGGAAGTGTGGGGATATAAGAAAGGGTATAGTAGCGTAAATGTGATGGAAATATTATGTACTCATGTATGTAAATAAAAAAGGGAGACCTGTTGAAACTATTCCAGGAATGAGGGGAGGGAGAATAAAGGAGAAAGAAGGAGGGGATGAATTCAGCTATGACATATTGTAAAAACTTTTTAAAATGTCTCATTGTACCCCCAGTACAACAATAATAAAAATAAGTAGATAGACAGATTATAAAACCAAAAACAAAAAATGTTCTGGGTATCACAATCTTGTGTAACTAAAAGTTACATTTCTCTAATAGAAAATAGTCATTTGTTCTTCCAATTTAATGAGTAATTTTAAACCATACCGTTAATTTTTCTGAATATCAGTATCATTTAGTACAAAATGGGGATGTATGTTTTCCTCATTACCAGTACACATGAGTACAGTAATCTTTAATAATCTTATTTGTAAACTACATATATACTTAACAGAAAATAATCTCCTTGTATGTTCTATGGCAGATATATTTCAGAATTTTAAAATGTGGACAGTCTTTACATTTTTAACTATAGGACACGGTGATTGAACATTTTAAAATTATGTATCTATGTATATTTGTACAGTGTTAACTGAAGTGTATACATAAACAGCTGTCATCATTCAAATCATGAAGAGAAGTAAGCCATCACAACTCATCTGGTAAGACTCTGTGATCACTGAGACTTACACTACCATTCACATCTGCCTCCCTCATGGTGCATACTGAGTCCCAATCAGCCATTTACAGTTATTATAAACACCAACTATTACCAAAACATTCGACTATTCTCAATTTTACTATCAATAATTTTCTAAAAGAATGTAGTTACCAAGGCTTTTAAAGAACATTCCAGTTTTTGGATATATGATCTACTATAGTACAAGGAATTAAATTTTGACCTAAAAGTAATTATTATCCCTAATTTATTTCTGAATCTAGTTATATGTGCACCAATTTGAAGCTTACATTTTTCAAATTTATAAAATGAGAAGACAGAATGTATCATAAAAATATGACATGTAAGAACCAATGATTCCAAGGTACCTGCTCAGTTTGCCTTTTCCAAGGACATGGCACTATTCTGGGAGTGGAATTTTGTTTTGGAATATGCCTGTTAGAAGAGCATGCTGCTGACAATGACAGTGGGGAGTATCTATAGCTTTCTGTCCTGTGGAACTGAGGTCCAAACATATTGTATGAGTTCATGTCTTGTGATGACTATACGAAAAGAGATAAAGAAATCAAAATAGTAGAACTGAAATATATGAAAAGGACATAGGCTGCAAAAGACAAAGTCCTAAGGAAGGCGAGCTGTCAATAACAGACAGGACAGCTTAACATAAAACAGGCACCCCACTAAGATTTCACTCTGCCTTCCCCACCTAGCTCCCCTCCACCTTCAGGCTCCCTTGCCACTTGCCATCCTCTAATGACAAGAAATCTGAGTTGCACTAACCCCCAATTGAGATGACAAGATTTCCAAGGGATTATATTAATACCATTGCCATTACCTTTCTGATCTAGTTTAACTCTGACCATTCAAGAGTAAAAAAGAAGTGCTTTAATTTTAAACAAAATTGTAAGTGTTAATCACACAATCTGTGTGATTTAATCAATTTTCTAATTGATTAAAATAATATTTGCTAAAAATAATTGTTTGTTATACTTTGAAAGAAAAGCCATCTTGAGATCAACATTAATACTAACATCAAAATTTGATATAAAATAATCTTGGTTGAAAAGATGAATTGTTCAATAATCATGGAAATCTGCAGTAAGAATCCCTAAGTAAATTGTTCCCTCACAAAACTTTTGTTCCTCACAAAACTTTAGTAACAAGCAGAATCAAATGTTATGCACACATAACTTTAGTCACATTCCCAATATTACAAATGGATTTTCATAAGCAATCAATTAAAATATCTTTTATGGTGCTGTACACTGGAAACCTTTTAAAAGAATTATTTGGGGCTGGGCATAATAGCTGAGCCCTATAATCCCAGTTACTCAGGAGGCAAAGATAACGGTTCAAGGCCAGTCATGACAAAAATTTAGTGAGACCACATTTCAACCAACAAGCTGGGTATGGTAGTATGCTTCTTTAATCCCAGCTACCAGGAGACATAGGTTAGGAGGATTGTGATCCAAGGTCAGTCCTGGGCAAAAATGTGAGGCCCTGTTCAAAAAATAAAAAAGCAAAAAAGGCCTGGCACATGGCTTAAGTGAGAGAGCACCTAACTACAAGTGCGAGACCCTGAGCTCAAACCCCAGTACTGCAAAAATTAAAAGAAAACATTTAAAAAATGGTAAAAGATGCAGGTCATGGTAGCATACCCCTGTATCCCAGCTACTCAGAAGGTAGAGGTGGGAGACTCAGAGTTCAAAGACATCTAGGACAGAAGTCAGCAAGACCTTATCTCAAAAACAAGCTGGGTATAGTAGTAAAAGCCTATAATCCCAGCTAGATGGGAAGCAGAAGCAGGATGATAGTGGTTCAAGGCTAGCTTGGGGCAAAAAGCATGAGACCTTATTTGAAAAATAAAACAAAAAAGGGCTGGAGTTGGCTCAAGTAGAACATGTTGCTCTGCCTAGCAAGTATAACATTCCTAAGTTCAAAACCCAGTACCACCAAAAAAACCAAAAAGCTTTGTAAAGGATAACTAATTTCCCCCAATATTCAAAAATTTAGATTATTCAGTAGCATGTCACAACTGTTAAAACAACTTATAATTTTTTTATAAGTCTTACCTGAACTGGGCCAAGTTCTTCCTTACAACTTGGTTCTTGATAGTGTATACTAAAGGAAAGAAAATTTTAAGATTAAAAAAATAATTAAGCAATATAATCTGATTTTTTATGTATTATAATTCATAGTACTCTATATATCCACCCAGAACATATTAGAATTCTAAATAAATCATTCCGAGTCAGTTAACATTACGACTTTATTAAAACTTATTTGCTACTGAATAGACATTTTTCATTAAGAAAGTCAGTGTAAGTGTACAAAACACCTAGGGCCATTTGATGGAGGCCTAATAGTTTTATAATATCATTAGACAAACAAAAACTGGAGCTTGAAGGTAAGTCCTTTTAAACACTTTCCAATGAGTAAAAGTACTCATAATAGCCAGTTTAAATACCTAATAATGTAACTTCCCAACTAAACTATAACTTGTTTTTCTTTTGTATCCGAGTAGAGTTTTAGAAGGTGTGCAGTTAGGCAACATTTGAAGTTCTAAATCATGCTTTCTTATAGGGATTTTTATGTCTTTATTCATATTCACATGAACTGGCTTTTTCACATGTTCTATAATTAAAATATGTTAAATAACAATTTAAAAACAAGAATAAAACATTTTATAACACCATTGTTTTTTATATATCATGTTCACTAAATAAATGTGCACCTAAGAAATTTTTACTAAAAAACATATTCTATACATATTAGAAAAAGTTATTACAGTACTAACTAATCAAATCTTTTTTGTCTTCTCACATAATCCTCAAGAAAGAGGCCCTATGAATTCATTTCTACTCTTTTCTTCCTCCAAGACTTTCCTGATTCCCTAGACATCAGATGTTTTCTGTTCTCATAGCGCTACATATTTTCTCTTCTATAGCATTTGACACACTTCATTGCACTTGATTAATTTTACCTCACTAGATTTTAAACTTTATAAAGGCCTTGTCTCTCTTTATAAAAAGTTATCACTGTTTTGTTTGTTCAGTACTTTAACCCACTCTCTTTTTCCAAGAAATTATTTTTGTACCCAGTCCAACTACCTGGTCCTGATGGGGACTTCCTATCATCCTTTGCAGAAAGGGATTTACAAACCTAGGTTTAGAGGTAGCAATTTGACCAAAGATGAAATGGTAATAGAATCCTATCCCTCCAAAAGTGAAGGTGTTCCACTGCTGGAACCTGGTACCAGTAGCACAAGGCAACATCCTTCCAGTGGAAATGAAAATACCCTGGAACCAGAGAAATAACTCACAGTCCTTCTTTGGGGGCGAAACTACAAGAGGTGGGCAATAGTGGTTTCTTAAGGTGGAGTTTTGAAACTTAATGATGAAGACAATCTGAGAAAATGAAGCTAATCTCTTAAAGGCAAAAGAGCCTCAGCAGCATTCAAGTTCCTGATTAAAGATGCTTCTGAGATCCACCATACCATCATCCTTCCTTTTAGTTGAATGAAGAAATACATTTCCTTTTTTGGATTTCTGCCATTAGCAGTCATGAGTCCTGATTAATAAAGTCTTGCTTTCCATTTCATCCCAGCACTCAATGCAGTACTTACAGTAGGTACTCAATAAAAATAGGTTGAATAAATAGATGAATGCATGTATGAAAAGAACATGTGGAGCTGGGTGCTTGGTTGCTCATGCCCATAATCTTAGCTACATGGGAGGATTGCTAGTTTGTAGTCAGCCTGGTCAAATAGTTTGAGAGACTGCATATCCAAAATAACCAGAGCAAAATGTATTGGAGGTATGGTTTAAGTGGTAGAGCACCTGCTTTGCAAGCATGAAGCCCTGAGTTCTAACCCCAGTCCCACCAAAAAAAAAAAGAAACATGAGAAAGTGATGGAGTTCAGTATACTTACCCCAACACGGTACCCTAACACATGAAAAAAACTGCAGAAGCAGGAAGATCACTATCAGCTTCCTTTCTTCTTCCCAAGATAAACCATAGAACTTAGGAAAGAATTTTATGACCCTCCCCTAAACCAAGTCATAAAACCTTCATTTGAAAGGTGTTCTCCTGAAGGGAAGGATCATCTTTTTTTAATCAATTAATTAATTTATTTATAGTGATGAGGATGGAACTCAGGTCCTTGTGCACAATAAGCAAGTGCTTTACCACCAACCTATATACATCCCCAGCCAGAGGATCCTTATCTCTGAAGACACAGGATCAGAGAAGAATTTGAACAAACAGTCCTTGGTAAGTTCTCCTTAGGCTGTTACCTTTAGATAATAGTCTTTAAAAAAACCTCAATCATACTTCTTCACAGATACCCACTTCATCAAATCTAGCAACAAAATGCACAGGTTTACCCATTTCTTCAGATCTTCATTTACTTATGAAGGCCCTCATATCATCTGTATTTTATTTGGGAGGCCTCAGCCATGAACCTAGTGATGGATTAGGAAAATACACTTTTCCTGCTCTACAAAAGGAAATAAGTAAAGGTAAACACATCAGATTTACAATAAGTTTTATTCCCCAAATGCATAAATAATGCTATCAAATAAGCTAACAAAGTACTTAGGTAGCACTTGGCATGGTACTTTGTACATGTTAGATGTCTAAGCATTGAAGCATCCTGAGCAAGTTTGGGCCTCTTGAAATACAGATGGGATTTCTGACAGTCTGGATCCCTATTTTTTTTTTTTTTTAAACTGGGAAATGGAACTCAGTCAGGGCCTTCCACTTGCTAGGCAGGTATCCTACTTCTACAGTTTTGTTTTTGTAGTGAAAGTGATAGTAAAGTTAATTAGGAAAGGAATTGCACTTTCAACAAATTGGAAGTGGGTTATCTCTGGAGAGAGAATGAAGAATGCTTCCGAGTCCCTTTTGTCTCTCGGTTTATTTTTGACGATAGGTCTCAGTTTTATGCCCAGGACCAGCCTGAACCACGATCCTCCATATTTGTGCTTTCCCCTACCAAGCTGCGGATGACAGCCACACACCACTGTGCCCAGCCATTGCTTGAGATAAAGTCTGAACTTTTTGCCCAGGGGATTGAACTGTGATCCTTCTGATTTCTGCCTTATACGCTTGAGGCACCACACTCAGCCCAAATACTGTGGAATTCTAAGTAGCAGACGCGGGCTTTGCAAAGTGGTCCAATTTTGCCACATCCCCCTAAGATGGCTCTCAAATGGATCAATGTCATTTTTAAGACTATTCTGGTTAATACTGTTAGGTGAAGGCAGCTATATCCTAATTCATGAATTAAAAGCCAATTGAAAGAGAATGATGGAGGGGGGTGAATTCAAGTACGATATATTGTAAGAACTGCCGTAAACATCACAGTGTACCCCCAGTACAACAATAACTTAAATAAATTTTTTTAAAACTGTTGGGTGCCAAAAACTATACTGAGAATATAAATAAATGTGGCCAGCCTCCTCCCTACATCCAGTGCTTATGATGGAACCCAGGACCTTGTACATACTAAGCAAGTGCTCTACCACTAAGCTACACCCACCAAGTCCCTCTTAGGCTAGTTAAATCTAGAGGTTGTCAAACAATTGCAATATTGTCTTCCAAATTAAATAAAAATGCAAATTATTCCAGGCCTGAAAAAAAAAGTATAACTAAAATTATAATTAATGGAAAGAGAAAGAAAAATTGTAGAGAAAGGAAATAAAGAGATAAAAATATTCTGATTAATTTCCCTGATGAATTATTTAAGCCCTCATTTTTGTACTTGTTTTAAAAATTACATATCAGATACAAACATGTTCCCTCAAGAGAGAGAAAGGATTAACTTCTCATTTACTCGAAGTATCAAGTACAGGACAAAATGGACTTCATTTTCTTTATTATCTACAATAGCTATCATTCCAGGAATACATGAGAAATAATTCAAGTCGTGAGACAGGAAACCAGTCATTAAGACAAAAATCCTTCCAACAATTTCTTAAATAACAATAGATAATAGGCACATTTATCATTCCCTACTCAAGCTGAACTTTAGTGAGTGTTACAAAGAACTTCTTAACTGCAACAATCACACTGTAATAAATTAAATGATACCTAAAAATTTTATATAGCACATACACAATCTAAATATGAAAATAAATGGATTAAGCAACAAAAGATTTTATGCAAAATTAACTAAACTAATTTAAGAGAGCAACCAAGTCTTAAAATTAATTTTTCGTAGCTTTGAGTTCTAAAATTTCAAATTGACTACAAAGTGAAGTGCTTTTATGATCACATCAAGGTCAAAACAAAATACTGTCGGAAAGACTTACCAGGTGTTTTCTTCTTGCAAGATATCTGATTTACCATATACAGGTTAAGAAGATCTAAACTGACGGTGGAATTTTTGACAGGGGACAAAACTCTCAGTAATTTCATTTTTGATTTTAACCTGTTTCTTTCAAAGTATTCCTAAAATATTTAAAAATTTAAAAAATTAATGCACCAAGTGGTTTAAGGCAGAATCATAAATAACAAAAGCACTAATACGATTAAATCACTAACGATGTTTTTACATTTTTATAACAACACTTTTGTATGTTTACATATGAATTTAAATCAATCATGATAACTTACTTGTAGCTTGTCTAAAGACTCTAAATTTTGCAAATTTTATGCTCTTTCTATTCTTAAACATAACTTTTTAAATGGAACTTTAAAAAGCTACTACCAGGTATCAAAAATTAGAAATTATCTGGATGCAGAAAACAAAAACAAATATAGTAACAAAAATAAATCTCACAGTTTAAAATCTTGGTTTTCTACAAAGTATGCTACTGTATGGATATAAAAATGCTGAAAGATATGTATAGCTAAGTGCCATTCAAATAAGATGAGAAGAAAAAAACTATTTAAGAACTAATCTGCAACCAATACCAACTTAATTCACTGTGTCATCCCTCCATGCCAGCTAGATGTTTGTTTTTGTAAAACCAGGCTTGCAAAAAATGATCATTCTTCATTCAGTTTTTTTCTTCCTGGCATTTAGAATATAATTGTTCTTCCTGATCTTCATTCTTTTTTTTTTTTTTTTTGGCATTACCGAGGTTTGAACTCAGGGCCTCATGCTTGCTATGTAGGCACTCTCCCAAATGAGCCATTCCACCAGCCCTTCATTATTTTTTTTTCAGATTACATCCTTAATTTATTAAATTCAGAAGCATTTGTTTAACATTTATTTATTGTGCCTGACACTAACAAACTGTCTTCAAACATCTTCCCTTCCATTAAGTAGTTCATAATACAGTGGCATAAGCTTGCTCATAAATGTGAGTTTTTAAAAGTGAGAAAATCCAAGATGGCAAAAAATTTAATACAAGAGGTCACATTTTGAAGATGTTAAGGCTCTTTCACATTAACATCTCAAAATATTGTCAATTATCAGCTTTTAAGATTGAAAAAAAATTGTAAGAACCATAAGAAACTTGTGAAATGTCAAGTAAAAAAATAAAAATCCTGTTACATGAAATAAAAACCTTAGATAAAAGGTATTTATCCATATTTTATTTCAGTGCTCTACAACTTTAAATTGAACTAAAATGTCTTTTAAAGGACCACATTGTGTATGGTTTTGCATTGAAATAACAGTACATTCAAGATGCAAATATTTTCCCCTCTTGGAAAAAGTGACAAATCAATGTTAAATCTTATAATTGATAGTATCTTGGAATTAAGATGTTATTTCTTAAGGCACTACATTTTATGAAAGAGATACAGTGAGGAAGACAGTGATAAACTACAACTAAGCAAGATAAGGGATGGCACAATGTCCTCAGGAAGGGTAACTCATGGGTTGAGATTAGTGTTAACAGAGGGAGAAGTGGAGAATAGGAAAAGTTTCTCAGGAACTGATTTCTAAGATAGATGAATGAATTGGAGTTAGCCAAAGAGGGTAGGAACATAAGTTTCCAGGAATAAGGAAGCACAGTAAAGGGAGTAAGGCTTTTTATTCTAGGGAATACTGTCAAAGAGGTTTGTCCTTTATACACTAGTTATCATGGTAGCCCCTAATTTCTGTGTTCCTACAAAAGACAAAGGTATGTGACTGATTTGCCTGGCAAGACTAAGCTCAATTTTTCTGTGAAGTTTCGCTTGTTAGAGAAAACTAGAAAACTATGAAGAAAATTGGAAAAATTTCAGAAAAATCAAAATTAACTTACAAATAGCCATTAATAAACAACCAGAGACAGAAATAAAATCTACAGAATGTGTCAAATCTTAAGAGAAGTTTGTTTCAAGAAGAAGGGATGGCAGACTGTATAGGAGATAATGACATAGTAAAGTAAGTTGAACAGAAAAGTATTTTTTCTTGATATTAGCAAGAACTGTATAGTGGAGGGAACTGAGACATGAATGGTAGGTGAGTAAAGGACCACAGCAGGAAAGAGAAAAGATCTAGAGAAGACAACTGTCCTGCTTTCATAATTGCCACACCCTTTTCTTTAAATTTCTCCACTTCTGAACATATTGGTATACTTTTATTTCCTTTTTCATTTTCCTTTTCTTATTTTCTGGTTTGAAAAAAATTTTTTGTAAAAGCAATCTTACTTCTTAGATTCTTCTCTGAGTTGCTTCTTTTGCTAAATATTATATACTTGAGTGATCCACGTCAACTACATGCAGTTAATACAATTTCACTGCTAAACCAATAGTTGATATGCCATAATTTCTTTAATGATACCACTGCTGAAGGATGTTTGTGTTGTTCTCTTCCCTTTCTCCTCCTTCCCCACGAACTTCTTTCTCTTTCTCTTTTTGTTTTATATTCTAGCAACAGTCACCCAGTCTTGAACCTAGTATACATCTCCAAGTATACATGTGCAAAAGTTTCTCTTAGATATGTACTGCTCAGTCGTAAAGTATATATGTGTGTAAGTACAACACAATCAAAATGAAAAGGCAAAATAAATGGAAGTAGGACACAAAATATGAGACCGTTACAGTACCCTAGGCAATAAGTGATCATTTCAGCACTTGAGTTACAGTGCTAACACGACAGGTAGTAAGAAGTCATCAGATTTGTGAAGTATCTTGAAACTAGCAAGACAGTAAGAATCAATAATGATCTGTATGTGTCTCCCTAAGCAAAATGGGCAATCAAGCTATGTAAAGAACAGAGAAGACTAAAAGAAGATGATCTTACAGTTTCACCTAGGTGAATTTATTAAGGGTGGAAAAAATATTTCAGAAGATGACTATTCAAATAAGGCCAACATTAGTAAAAATATTTTTTCTTTACCTTTTGCTTTCTCCTTTCCTGCTTGATCAGAACCCTGGTCCTGAAAAGGGAAGTAAGACAAAACATAGTGTTTAAGAAATGGTCTCTGTGATGACTGCCATATCAGTTGAAAACTTGAAAATAAAAGCTAAAAATGTAGTGGTCTTTGCATTATTTTTTATAAAGAAACTGAAAATGTTTTTAAAGTTTTATGTTTCACAAAATATTCTTAGGAAATCCAAGATACAATTTAAAAAAAAAACTACTCCATACCTACAATGAATAATTTAGCACAACAATAAAGCTGAGTTATAAAATCAAGATAAGCAAACAGAAAACTTTGCTTTGGAAAGGTTATATCATTTTCTTATCTAATAGCAATATGCTTGGTTAACCTTCTTATCTTCTTTGCCTTTCTTTGCATTTCAACATTATAGTGAAATCAACAGGGAACACAGATAAAGTAAAATCTCTTTAGCTTTAAGGAAATGTTAAATTTATTGTTAATGTAACATCGTTTACATTAATATATCAGCTATATGTATTTGAAATCTCAGAGCTAGGCATGATGTCACATGCCTGCTGTCCCAGCACTTGGGAGGAAAAGGATAGAAACTTTGAGGCTAGCCTGCACTATACAAGGGATGGAGATATAGTTCAGTGGTAGAACACTTGCTTGGTAGGCACCAGGTCCTGGCTCTGAACCCCAGAACATTCTGTTTTAAGTCAGTTCAAGTGGCTGTAATAAAATATAATTAAACTGTGCGGTTAGCGCTGTATTAATTTTATGCAAACACTGCTCGCCGCCCAAACGTACGTCCACAACTCTGACATGTTGAGTAATTTGAACTGAGAAGGCCTCAAAAGCAAAGTCTCTCTGACCTTCTCCTGCCTTCCCTTCTACTGCACCTCTCTCTCCCAAAGTGGATCATAGGAACTAGAATCTCTCTTTCCTAAAGTCAATCATAAAACCTAAAAATATTGCTCTCATTTTCCCTCTTTCTTTGTAAGATATAGCCTTAAAAGAAATTCTCTGACCTATCTTGTTTCATACAGATCACGGAACCTCCATTCCAGAAGGGGTCTTGCCTATACCCAGCCAGAAAGAATGCCACACATTCTATGAAGAATCTCAAAAGACAGTCTTTGCTGGATTTACCCTCTTAGTCTATAACCATTATGTTATATCCTTTGTGTGCAGTAACATTTCTATATGGATGCCCATTCTTCATTAAATCTAAGCATAAAAATGAAGTTTTCTGTGGGTCTTTGGTCTTCATTTCTGAAGGCTCCTATAACATATAAAAGTGATTAAATAAATCTGTTATGAGTTGCTCTTGATAATCTGTCTTCTTATAGGGAGTGTCAGCTATTGCCTTTATAGCAAGTAAGAAAAGCTATCATACCTTTCACCATACACTGCCAAAATAAATTTATTTCTCACAGATTCTAGAGTCTGTGAAGTCTGGCTCCTAGCCAGAGGATTTGGTGTCTGGCAGAAGGCCCATTTTCTGGTTCATAGATGTTGACTTTTCACTATGTCCTCACATGTCAAAAGAGGGAGCTACTTCTGCAGGGTCTCTTTTAAGGATGCTACTCACAGTCATGAGGGCTGTACCCTTATGCTCTAATCACCTCCCAAAGGCCACCCCCCCAAAACCATCACCTGGGGGGCGGTTAGAAATTCAACATATGAATTTGAGGGAGTAACAGACCATACCATCATCTTTTTAAAAATCTAGTCAATATGGATGTGTTTCATATCTATGATTTTTCTGCCAAAACATGGCACTGATTACCAATGAAAGTGCAGTATTTAATGATTATAAAATGTTGCTCTATTAATAATAGTGGAATGCTATAAAACATTCATGAAAATATAAGCAGATACCTGCAAAATATATGTTTAGATATGTATGAAATTATGGTGTCAAACTCAAGATTTATCCAAGAACTATAGATATAATGACAAAATGTATCTTAATTGTATGAGATTATATAGTATCAAAATAATTGCAAATAGTGAATGCCGTATATCTTGCACCATTCTAATTAGTTTAGACATTTTATACGTATAAACTCATCAAATCTCTACAGCAACTCTCTAATAAGTTCTATTTCTGTCCCTATTTTACTGATGAGAAAACTAAGGCAAAGAAAAATTAAGTAGCTTTCCCAAAGTCACACTGTCAGTGTGGCAGGATTCAAACCCAGGAACGCTTGATTTTGGAATTTTTAACCAAAACTATCTTATACTGCCTCTCGGTTATGTCAAATGAGACTATACAAACATGTTCATTTTTCCCTGTGATTTTAATATTCATCATAAATGACAGTTACGAATACTCAGACTTGGTCTCTGATTAAATGTGTTCTTTAATATATTGCCCATTAACTATGTCTTAATTGGTTATTTTGAGCTCATTGAGCAAAGAACCCTATATTTTCTGCTCCACACAGCATTGTAAGTACAGCTGAAATTCCAACTTTACAAAATAAAACAGGAAAGAAATTACATCTGATTTACTCATCAAATGCTAAGGATGACTTTAGAGGTTATTCCCCATCACTTTAAACTTGCAGAACATAGGAACAAAAAGCAAAGGGATATTTCAAAGTTCAGAAATACCAATTTTATAAGCACTTTCCATGTTATTGAGCTGAGTAGAATTAGTGATGTCAAAGTCTAAATATATTCTTTATGCATTCATAAATCAAGTGATTTTTATTCCAGACTGATTTTTCTTATCTAGGACACACAGTTCTCAACAATTTTAAGTGCCTGAGAAGAAATTAATTAGGAATTTAGGACCTGATGGATTCTCTGCTGAATTCTACCACACTTTTAAAGAAGAACTAATACCAACCCTCCTTAAACTGTTCCACAAAATAGAAAGGGAAGGAAAACTGCCTAACACATTTTATGAAGCCAGTATTACACTTATCCCAAAACCAGGCAAAGACACCTCCAAAAAGGAGACTATAAGCCAATCTCCTTTTTATTATTATTTTTTTTTATTCACATGTGCATACATTATTTGGGTCATTTCTCCCCCCTACCCCACTCAGTTCCAGGCAGGTCATGTTCTGCCTTTATCACTACTTTTGTTGAAGAAAAGAGACAAGCCTAACAAGGAAGACAAAGTGTTTTTGCTAGTTGAGTTGAGGATAGCTATATAGAAATATTCCTAAGCATTGCCTTTGTGAACACGGTGTTAGGACCATGTTGATTCATCTCTCACTGATCTTTTACCCTGGTTACTGTCTCCATTCTCATAGATAACCTCTGTTGCGTTAAGGTTTCTGTATAATTTCCCCTGGAAGTGGGGACATCAAACGCTTCATGTTTTGGCGTTGTCTAACATATTTCCTAATCACCAAAATGTGCTCTTCCCCTTTATCATGTGATCGAAAGTTCAACCACATTGCTGCATTTGCCCATAGATCTTAAAGTTGTGCATATGAGGAAAACATCATGATTGTTGGTCTTCTGAGCTTGGCTGAACCTCACTCAGAATGATTTTCTCTATTCCATCCAGATTACCTGCAACATGATAAATTTCCATTCTTCTTCATTTTCTTATCCCAAAAACCAGGCAAAGACACCTCCAAAAGGAGAACTATAGGCCAATCTCCTTAATGAACATGATGCAAAAATCCTCAATAAAATAATGGCAAACGAATTCAAAACACATCAAAAAGATATTCACCACAACCAAGTAGGCTTCATCCCAGGATGCAGGGTGGTTCAACATACGAAAATCAATAAACGTAATAAACCACATTAACAGAAGCAAAGACAAAAACCACTTGATCATCTCAATAGATGCAGAAAAAGCCTTTGAAAGATCCAACACCATTTCATGATAAAAGCTCTAAGAAAACTAGGAATAGAAGGAAAGTACCTCAACATTATAAAGCTATATATGACAAACCTACAGCCAGCATTATACTTAAGGAAAAACTGAAACCATTCCCTCTAAAATCAGGAACAGACAAGGATGCCCACTATCTCCACTCCTATTCAACATAGTACTGGAATTCCTAGCCAGAGCAATTAGGCAAGAAGAAGGAATAAAAGGAATACAAATAGGTAAAGAAACTGTCAAAATATCCCTATTTGCAGATGACATGATCCTATACCTTAAAGACCCAAAAAACTCTACTCAAAAGCTCCTAGACACCATCAATAGCTATAGCAAGGTAGCAGGATATAAAATCAACATAGAAAAATCATTAGCATTTCTATACACTAATAATGAACAAACTGAAAAGAATTATGAAAACAATTCCATTTACAATAGCCTCAAAAAAAATCAAATACCTAGGTGTAAACCTAAAAAGATGTGAAATGACCTCTACAAGGAAAACTATAAACTTCTGAAGAAAGAGATTGAGGAAGACTATAGAAAGTGGAGAAGATCTCCATGCTCATGGATTGGTAGAATCAACATAGTAAAAATGTATACTCCCAAAAGTAATCTACATGTTTAATGCAATTCCCATCAAAATCCAATGACATTCATTAAAGAGATTGAAAAATCTACCGTTAAATTTTATGGAAACACAAGAGCCACGAATAGCCAAGGCAATACTCAGTCAAAAGAAAAACTGGAGGTATCACAATACCTGACTTCAAACTATATTACAAAGCAATAACAATAAAAACAGCATGGTACTGGCACAAAAACAGACATGAAGACCAGTGGAACAGAATAGAGGACCCAGATATGAAGCCACACAACTATAACCAACTTGTCTTTGACAAAGGAGCTAAAAATATACGATGGAGAAAAGACAGCCTCTTCAACAAAAACTGCTGGGAAAACTGGTTAGCAGTCTGCAAAAAACTGAAACTAGATCCATGTTATCACCCTATACAATATTAACTCAAAATGGATCAAGGATCTTAATATCAGACCCAAACTCTAAAGTTGTACAGGAAAGAGTAGGAAATACTCTGGAGTTATAGGTATAGGAAGAACTTTCTCAATGAAACCCCAGCAGCACAGCAACTAAGAGATAGCATAGATAAATGGGACTCATAAAACTAAAAAGCTTCTGCTCAACAAAAGAAATGGTCTCTAAACTGAAGAGAACACCCACAGAGTGGAGAAAATATTTGCCAGCTACACATCAGACAAAGGACTGATAACCAGAATATATAGGGAACTTAAAAAACTAAATTCTCCAAAATTAATGAACCAATAAAGAAATGGGCAAGTGAACTAAACAGAACTTTCTCAAAAGAAGAAATTCAAATGGCCAAAAAACACATGAAAAATGCTCACCATCTCTAGCAATAAAGGAAATGCAAATTAAAACCACACTAAGATTCCACCTCACCCCTGTTAGAATAGCCATCATAAACACCACAACAACAGGTGTTGGCGAGGATGTGGGGAAAAAGGAACCCTCTTACACTGCTGGTGGGAATGTAACTAGTACAACCACTCTAAAAAATTTGGAGGCTCTTAAAAATCTAAACATTGATCTACCATATGATCCAGCAATACCACTCTTGGGGATATACCCAAAAGATGGACACAGGTTACTCCAGAGGCACTGCACACCCATGTTTATTGCAGCACTATTCACAATAGCCAAGTTATGGAAACAGCCAAGATGCCCACTATGAAATGGATTAAGAAAATGTGGTATTTATACACACAATGGAATTATGCAGCCATGAAGAAGAATGAAATCTTATCATTCAGGTAAATGGATGAATTGGGAGAACATCATTCTGAGTGAGGTTAGCCAGGCCCAGAAGACCAAAAATCATATGTTCTCCCTCATATGGCCGACATTAGATCAAGGGCAAACACAACAAGGGATTGGACTTTGATCACATGATGAGCGAGAGCACAAGGGAGTATGAGGATAGGCAAGAAACCCAAAAAACAAGATGCATTTGATGTCCTCAATGCAAAGGAACTAATGCAGCAACTTTAAAGCGACAGAGGCCAATAGGAGAAGGGGACCAAGAACTAGAGAAAAGGTTAGTTCAAGAAGAATTAAATTAGAATGTAACACATATGTACAGGTAAGGACTGTGAGTCAACTCCCTGTATAGCTATCCTTATCTCAACTAGCAAAAACCCTTGTTCCTTCCTATTGCTTATACTCTCTCTTCAACAAAATTAGAGATAAGGGCAAAATAGTTTCTGCTGGTAGCAGGGGTAGGAAGGGGGGGGGTGGGGGGAAGGGGGAGAAATGACCCAAACATTATATGCACATATGAATAAAAGAAATTTTTTAAAAAGACTGTTAGTCCAGATGCCTAATTATAACTAACAGAAAATACATTGGCTAATTCAAACAGAAAATACATTATTTTTTTTTCATTTTTCTTTTATTATTCATATGTGCATACAAGGCTTGGTTCATTTCTCCCCCCTGCCCCCACCCCCTCCCTTACCACCCACTCGCCCCCTCCCCTCTCCCCCCCCAATACCAGCAGAAACTATTTTGCCCTTATTTCTAATTTTGTTGTAGAGAGAGTATAGCAATAATAGGAAGGACAAGGTTTTTGCTGTTGTTAGATAAGGATAGCTTACAGGGCATTGACTCACATTGATTTCCTGTGCGTGGGTGTTACCTTCTAGGTTAATTCTTTTTGATCTAACCTTTTTCTAGTACCTGGTCCCCTTTTCCTATTGGCCTCAGTTGCTTTAAGGTATCTGCTTTAGTTTCTCTGCGTTAAGGGCAAACAAATGCTAGCTAGTTTTTTAGGTGTCTTACCTATCCTCACCCTCCCTGTGTGCTCTCGCTTTTATTCATGTGCTCATAGTCCAATCCCCTTGTTGTGTTTGCCCTTGATCTAATGTCCACATATGAGGGAGAACATACGATTTTTGGTCTTTTGAGCCAGGCTAACCTCACTCAGAATGATGTTTCCAATTCCATCCATTACCAGCGAATGATAACATTTCATTCTTCTTCATGCTGCATAAAATTCCATTGTGTATAGATACCACATTTTCTTAATCCATTCGTCAGTGTGGGGATCTTGGCTGTTTCCATAACTTGGCTATTGTGAATAGTGCCGCAATAAACATGGATGTGCAGGTGCCTCTGGAGTAACAGTCTTTTGGGTATATCCCCAAGAGTGGTATTGCTGGATCTAATGGTAGATCGATGTCCAGCTTTTTAAGTAGCCTCCAAATTTTTTTCCAGAGTGGTTGTACTAGTCTACATTCCCACCAACAGTGTAAAGAGGGTTCCTTTTCCCCGCATCTCGCCAACACCTGTTGTTGGTGGTGTTGCTGATGATGGCTATTCTAACAGGGGTGAGGTGGAATCTTAGCGTGGTTTTAATTTGCATTTCCTTTATTGCTAGAGATGGTGAGCATTTTTTCATGTGTTTTTTGGCCATTTGAATTTCTTCTTTTGAGAAAGTTCTGTTTAGTTCACATGCCCAAGAAAATACATTATTTAAAAGGAAATCGAGTAGCCCACAGACCTGCTGAGAAGACTGAGGAACTGGGCAAACAGCAGGAACAAGGAAGTCAAGTCAGCTGCAAGATCATGGACAAAATCATGCCATAACAGATCTTGTAAGGCTACCACTGCTGGTAGTGATGAATACTGGATAACACTGACTGCAACCATCTCCCACTCCTGAATGGTGACCACTACCTCTGGCACCACTAGCATTCAGTCCTCCTGCAGCTCCTGCAACTACAATAGATGCTCTATAGTTCCTACTTCCTGGGTTGCTAGTTCCTGATCCAGGTCATGTGCCCATTCACTACCTATAGAACAGTCTGGGAAGCAAGGATCTGGGGCTTTTTTCAACTTTTACAGAGAGAGATGGCTTGTACTTGTATCATAAAACTTTTAAGGTAGGAAATGCCCCCACACATTGATGAGGCTCAAAAGCTAGGCTGCTAAAGAACATAAATGTCTTCTAAAGGATTATTGTACAATAAAATTGAAATAGGTGATCTAAAACTCATTTTCACTTAGCCATGTAATATATCTATATCTATACATTTCCTTATCATTGCTTCTTATGGTTTACTTAGACTAATACAAAAACACGATAGCAATGAAGAGAGAACACAGTCCAGAAATAACAGGGGAAGCTAGCTCAAACACTGTATCTTACATATGTAAGTACTACCCAGAAATTTGGAAATGGTCAAAAGGACTTGCCAACAGATCCCCAAAAGTCATTTACTAAAAGCATTCTACAATGAATACTGCATTATTATACAATCATCCTAACAAAATTAAATTTTTAAAGGGTCTCTTTGACTTTATGCAAATGTTCTCAAACATATTCTTGCTTTACATGGATAAATACTCTAAAACACAGCTGTGGTTATGACTTAGGGACATAACTTCCATATCATGGTCACAAGCCAGGTTTCAACTTTCTTTTCTGTTCTTGCACTTCATGAACTCATACACTCAACCAAAGTAAAAATATAAATACAGTACTATTCTTCATATTCAGATGCTTTTCCACCATACTTTCATATTTGAAACTTTTAAAATTTTCAAGGCTCCATTCAAACAATTATTCACAAAATTTCTATTCATATAAAAATAATTTTAATACAATTTCTCTAATTTTTGTCTTAAAATTTTGTTTACCAGGGACTTGGGGATGGAATGGAGAGTGAACATAAGGCCCATCATTCTTTTTTTCCTTTATTTTATCATTTTTACATTTACTTACATGTGTACACATTGTTTGTTCCCACCTTCTGTTCCACACCCTTCTGGGCAGACACTTGTTTCCACCCGGCTTGATTCTCTGATTTTGTTGAGAGAAAGCACAGGAGATAAATAAGGAAAGAATAGCGTTTTGCTAGTTTGGGATAAAGATAGCTATACAGAAATTCCTAGCTTGCTTCCACTGCACTTGTGTATTGCAACTACATTGGTTTCATCTCTGCCAGACCCCTTCACTTACTTCCATCAACCTTCCCATATGGCCTCTGTCAGTTTCAGATTGCTTTACTAGGCCCTCCTCAGTGAGCACAGCAACCCACATCCAAGATTTTTAGGCTTCCCTTTTCCTCTTCCCTATTTCTCCCATGCAGATTTGCTCAACTTAGTGTGTGCACCCATGGATCCATAATTTTACTGCATTTGCTTTGGTCTTGCAAATCTGCATTACGAGGGAGAACATGCAATTTTTTGGCCTTCCCTAGGAGTGGTATTGCTGGAATCACTATGGCCAGATCTATGTTTTAGTTTTTTAAGAAGCATCTATATTGTCTTCCAAACTGGTTGTACTAGCTTACATTCACACCAGCAGTGTATAGGGTTCTTTTTCCCTGCATCCTCACCAACAATTGTTGGTAGTGGTGTTCTTGATGCCAGCCATTCTTACACAGATGAGGTGGAATTTTAATGTGATTTGCATTTCCTTTATGGACAAGGATGGTCAGAATTTTTTCATGTGTTTTTTGGCCATTTGGATTTCTTCCTTTGAAAAAGTTCTCTTTAGTTCAGTTACCCACTTCCTTATTGGTTCACTAAGTTTTGGGGAGTTTAGCTTTTTGAGCTCCCTGTATATTCTGGCTATTAGTCCTTTATCTGATGTACACCTAGCAAATATTTTCTCCCAATCTGAGGGTGGTATCTTCAACCCAGAGGCCATTTATTTGTTGTCCACAAGCTTTTTAATTTCATGTAGTACTATTTTTCCATCCTTTCTCTTAGTTGCTGGGTTCCTGGAGTTCTACTGAGGAAGTGTTTGCCTATACCTATTGTTTACAGGGTATTCCCTGCTTGTTCATGTATTCCTCACTCAAGGTTTTGGGTCTGATATTAAGGTCCTTAATCCAATTTGAGTTAATATTAGTACACAGTGACAAGTGTGGATGTAGTTTCAGTTTTCTGCAGATAGCCACTTCTCCCAGCAACAGTTGTTGAAGAGGATGGCTGTTCTCCATCCTATGTTTTTGGTGCATTTGCGAAAATTAGTTGGGCATAGTTGTGTGGATTCATACCCAGGTCCGCTATTCTGTCCCACTGGTCTTCATATCTGTTTTGTGCCAGTACTATGCTATTTTTATTGCTATGGCTCTGTAGTATAGTTTGAAGTCAGGTATTCTGATACCTCCAGCTTTGATCTTTTTACTCAGTATTGCCTTGGCTATTTGCAGTCTTTATGTTTCCAAATGAACTTAAGGGTAGATTTTTCAATTTCTATGATGAACATCATTGGGATTTTGATGGGAATTGCACTGAACATGTGGATTGCTTTTGGTAGTATAGCCATTCTTACTATGTTGATTCAGCCAGTCCATGAGCATGGGAGATCTTTCCATCTTCTGTAGTCTTCCTTGATCTCTTTCTTCAGTGGTTTGTAGTTCTCCTTGTAGAGATCATTTACTACTTTCATTAAGTTTACTCCTAGGTATTTGATTTTTTTGTTAGGCTATTGTAAGTGGAATTGTTTTCATATATTCTTTCTTAATTTGTTCATTGTTGATGCACAGAAAAGCTACTGATTATTTTAAGTTGATTTTGTATCCTACTACATTGCTGAAGCTATTTCTGGTGTCTAGAATTTTCTGGGTGGAGTATTTTGGATTTTTGAGGTATAGGATCATGTTGTCTACAAATAGGGATAGTTTGACTATTTCTTTATCTATTTGTATTCCTTTTATTTCTTCTTCTTGCCTTATTGTTCTGGCTAGGATTTCCAGGACTATGTTGTATAGGAGTGGGGAAGAGTGTACACCCTTTTCTCCTTCCTGACTTTAGGTAAAATGGTTTCAGTTTTTCCCCATTAATTTTGATGTTGGCTATAGGTCTGTCAGACATTGGCTTTATAATGTTGAAGTACATTCCTTCTACTCCTTGTTTTCTTAGAGCTTTTATTATGAAGTGGTATTGAATCTTATCAAAGGTTTTTTTCTGTATCTATTGAGATGATCAAGTGGTTTTTGTCTCTGCTTTTATTAATGTGCTATATTACATATATTGATTTGCATATGTTGAACCATTGCTGCATCCCTAGGATGGAGCCAACTTGGTCATGGTGAATGATCTTTCTGATATGTTGTTGGATTCAGTTTGCCATTATTTTATTGATGATTTTGCACCAGTGTTCATTAAGGATGTTGGCCTGTAGTTCTCCTTTTTGGATGTGTTCCTGTCCAGTTTTGGGATGAGTGTAATACTGACTTCATAGAATGAGCTAGGCAGTGTTCCTTTCCTTTCTATTTTGTGGAAATTTTAAGGAGTGTTGGTATTAGTTCTTCTTTAAAGGTCTAGTAGAATTCAGCAGTGAATCCATCATGTCCTGGACTTTTCTTTTTTGGGAGACTCTTTATTGCTGCTTCAATTTCATTATGTTGTAGATATGTTTAGGTGGTTAATATCCTTTTGGATGGTCATAAATAGCTAGAAATTTACCTATTTCTTCAAGATGTTCCAATTTATTTGAATATATTCTCAAAGTAGTCCCTGATTATTCCCTGGATTCCCTTGGTGCTTGTTATCTCCCCTTTTTCATTTCTGATTTTACACACTTATGCCTTTTCCCTCCTCGTTTAGTCAGATTTGCCAAGGCTTGTCAATCTTGCTTATTTTTTTCAAAGAATCAGCTTTTTGTTTTGTTCTCCGTATGGTTTTTTTTTTTTGTCTCTATTTTATTAATTTTGGCCCTTACTTTTATTATTTCTCTCCTGCTTGTTTTGGGTTTCACTTGTTATTTTTCTAGGAGTTTGAGATGTAGCATTAGGTCATTTATTTGAGATCTTTCTGTCCTTTAAGTATATGTACTCATGGCTATAAACTTTCCTCTTAGGACTGCTTTGCTGGTCCCATAGGTTGTGATAGGTTGTGTCTTCATTTTTCATTAGCTTCTAGGAATCTTTTGATTTCCTCTTATTTCTACTATGATCCACTGATCATTGAGCAATGTGTTATTCAGCCTCCAATTATCTGCTGCTGTTTTTGTTGTTGAGTTCTAGTTTTAATGCATTGTGATCCTGTAGAATGCAGGGGGTTATTTCTATTTTCTTATATGTGTTGAGGTTTGATTTGTGCCCTAAGATATTACCTATTTTGGAGAAAGTTCAATGAGCTGCTGAGAAGAATGTATATTGTGTTGTTGTTGGATGAAATATTCTGTAGACATCAGTTATATACATTTGATTATTGTGTCATTTAGTTCTAGGATTTCTTTGTTGATTTTTTGTTTGGATGACATATCTATTGGTGATAGATGGGTATTACTGTCTCCCACTACCACTGTGTTGGAATCTATATGTGTTTTTAAGTCTTTTAGTGTGTTTGATGAAATTGGGTGCATACATTGGGTGCATATAGGTTGATAATTATTTCCTTTTGATGTATTGCACCTTTTATTAGTATGAAGTATCCTTCTTTATCTAATTTGATCAATGTAAGTTTGAAGTCTACTTTGTCTTGTATAAGTATTGCTACTCCTGCCTGTTTTCGGGGGCCATTGGCTTTGTAAATCTTCCTCCAGCCTTTCACCCTAAGCCAGTGTTTATTTCTGTCAATAAGATTGGTATTTTGTAAACAACAGATTGTTGCATATTCCCTTTTAATTCAGTTTGACAAATGGGATCATTTGATGGGGAGTTGAATCCGCTGACATTTAGTGCTAATATTGATAGGTATGTGGTGATTCCTGCCATTTAGTTGTTTTTGTTGTTTAA